GAGTGGTGAAACTCCTCTAAGGATCTTCCTAATTGGGTCCAAGTATCCAACATGGGTACTACTAATATTATTATTAACTTTAAAAAAAAATGCATACATGGACTAAATATTTGAGTAAATAAAATATAAACTCCATCGAAGCAGTAATAAAACCGTTTAGTTCCATCGTTCAATTTTACACTCCATTTGAATCATAGGATGAGAAAAATAAATAATAAATGATTGTGTTTTTTCATTATCATATTTGAATGAGTAAGAAAGGAAAACATGTAAAGAGGGTTTTGAACGAGATTTAATTTTTCATCATTGTATTTTAAGTATGAGTAATCATGGATCCGTCCAACCCGCCTCAACCTGACTGATTCGATCCAACCCGATTGATTTGGGCGGACGCATGTCTTTTGACAGATGAATACGGATGAATATTTCAAAATCCACTAATACGATTCAGATGGCAGGTCAACCACCTCACACCCGCATGAACTCGATCCGCCCGTTAATGAAGTTAAAAAAAAATAATAAAAATAAAGAATTGCTAATGAATAACAACATAGAGTAGAATAATAAAATATATATTTTTTGTAAAAATGAAAAATAATACCTTAAAAATATGCATTGTAGTGCCATGGCTATTATAGATAAATAACACATTTTTTTACAAATTACTAGTTATTGGAGATTGTAAAAATAATTAATTATAATTCGGAAAATATTAAAAATTTGTATAGTTCAAACTACCAAGCCGATCGCATCCATCCGCTAATTTGCATGGCCCGTTCAATCCGCATCTGCCAAATCAACGAATGGATGTGAATTGATTTTTTTCAATCCGTCTAGTTTCAATAGACTGATAGAAGCCACCCGATCCAACCCGACCTAATCTGTGATCACTCCTAATTTTAAGGGACAATATGATGTTATAAATATGGATAAATTACAAATAACCCTTTAAAATTTACTTAAATATAAATTATCCCTGTAGTTTTAAATTAAATATATCCTTTTTCATAATTTTTTATTCAACAGAATTAAAAAAAAATAAAATTGAACTACTCTCTTATATCAATAGTAAAGTTATCAAATCGTTAATTGAAATATATTTTTGACATAATTAAAAGCTGTTAATTGACTTAATGATTTATTAATAAAAAGAGCTATTTGTCATGCGATAAGAAATTTAAATGAATGAAATGTAATTTTAAAACTACAAGGGAGAATATGTATTTTAAGCAAATCATAAGGAGTGTATTTATAATTTATCTCACATTATTTCGATAACCAAAATTGCTATTAACTCTTATTTATTTATTTTTTTAATTAAAATTACATGAATTATTACTTGAAATATATTTCTGACATTAATAAAAATTGTTAATTAATTTGATAATTTATTAATAAATGAGGTCATTTGTTATGAGATAAGAAACTTGAAAGGGTAAGATATAATTTTTAAAACTATAAGAAACAATATGTATTTTAAGGAAACTTAAAGATGTATTGTAATTTATTTTATAAATATTTGGAGTAATTAAAACTTAGTGATAACTTTAAAAAAATTACAAAATAATAATAAAAGGGAAAATCGGTTTAAGGTCCCTATCTAACTTTTAGTAATGGATTAGGTCCACAATGTGTTCTTTTGTAGCCTAAGGTCCTCAATGTTATTTTAGAATGTAAAATACCTGTCTTACCCTTGTTTATAATATACGTTGTTTTCAATTTGGCAGCTAAAGATCATATTGATATTTTGTGGGAGATTACGTGAGGATGAACTTGACGATTCAGATTTTTGTGGAGATTTTCTAGGTTTTTTGTATGTGTTGAAATCCTGTTCGTTATTTGTAGGTGTTGAAATCCTATACGAGTTGAAATCATGTTCGTTGTTTGTAGGTGTTGATCGATCGTGTAGGAGTTGAAATCTGGTTCATTGTGTTTGATTTGATTTAATGTGGAGTTGAATTAGATAAGTTTTCAATTTTTGATTTGATTTGATTGTGTAGGTATTGAATTAGGTTTTGTTTTTAGTTTTGACCAATGTGAGAGAGACGAACTCAATGTTTGTTGTTTTTGATTTTTGAAGTTAATTTTTTCATTATCTGTTATTGATGAATTTTCGATGGAGTTGATTTTGATTTTTGGAGTTGCTTTTTTCATTCTCTGTCAACATGGTTATGAGTTGCTTTTTGGTGCTCTGTTTTTCAGCGTTTTTGTGCTCTGTTTTTTGTTCACTTTGCATTTTTTTTGTTAGTGCAGAGAAAATTGCAGTTTTGTTACTATAATTGAACTCAAATCACATAGAAAATTGTAAGCTTGTAGTGCAGTGAAAATCACAGAGAAAATTGTAAGTAGGCAGAGAAATTTACAGAATAGCAATAGAGTAGTAAATGTTTTGTTTTTTTTTTTAAATTTTTTTGAATTGAATGTTTTGTGAACATAACAGATCTTCTCTATGATTTTTTATGTGCTTGTGTTTAATATATTTTTGTCTCTTGATGTTAATGTGTTTTTGTTTTTTGTATATTGAAAGTGAATATAAGTTCACAAATTTCTCTGGACTTTTCTTTGTAGTCCAAAGAAAATCATATGATTGTATTACAAATGATAAGTATTCAAATTTCTCTGGACTTATATGTTGTGTTTTTATGTGTTTTTATATGTTTGCACTTTTCAAAGTTTTCTGATATGTTTTCTTTGCACTTTCATTTTTTTTTTTTTTTTTGCACTATTCATGTTTCTGGACTTTTCTTTGTAGTATAGAGAAAATCGTAGGTTTGTTTTTAAATCCAGTGAAAGACAGAGAAAATGTTAAGCTTGTAGTTGAGTGAAAATCACCCTTGAAGTTGGTGTCTTGATCTTGATGCTTATTGCTTCTTCAACTTGGACTTGTTTTTTTTGTGTGTTCTGGTGCTGCTACTGCGTTTTGATCTAAGATCATAAGACGCAGACACAGAGACTTTTGGTTTCTTTTTCGGGGTTTCTGGGTTGTGCTGCTTCTGCGCTTTGCCATTTCTATGAATGAAAACCATAACATTAAATCCCAGAGAAAATTACAAGGTAGCAATGATTACACAACAGAGAAAATTACAAGATGCAACATAAACATGACGAGAAAATTACACAGCAGAGAAATTTTGAGGAAATGGAGCATTGAACAAAATAAATATACCAGAGAAAATTAGACACAAGCATAAACATAATGTAGTCAGAGAAATTATAAATGCTCGCGAGAGAAAATTAGACACACAAGTAAGAAAAGTAATTTGGCCAGAGAAAATTATAATGCCAGAGAAAATTAGCCACACACACATAGAGTAGTAGCCACAGATAATTTGCTTGAGAAATAATGAAGAACATAAACATGCCAGATAAAATTACACAATAGAGAAACACAAATGTAGCAAGCCAGAGAAATTTGCAAAAT